ACATGTATATACCTAGTAATATGAATAAGTGGCTGGAAGATGCTATATATTACAACAAATACTGTGAAATTCGTATTACTTTGTTAAGTGAAAAATGTATACCACTTGTAATTTTTTGCTTTAATTCAAATTTGTATTCTCTTTAAAAAATAAAGTAAAATGAATTGAATTGGATTGAGCTGAATTGAACTGACCTGAATTTATTTGAATTATGGAGTTAGTTAACCAGCCCTGTTTGCATACTGTTAAGTAATGGAGCTTGAAATGCTACCAGGCTTACAGATTCCAGGGCTGAAAATTTTAAATCATTATAATCCTCCTCGTGACTCTCAAAATAATATTTGACCTATACATTATGTCTAATGGAATCATAGAAAGGACCTGTTATGAACTTCCATATTGTAAAATATGTTAGTTACAATAATCTTAAAGCATAAATTTCCCAACTCTACCAGCCAGGTGAACTTTCTCAAGTATGTGTTTAATCACAGCCCTCTGTTTAAGGAGAAAAGTTTCTCGAGATCTATCCATTACTGGTTATAATTCCTCATCATCTTCATTACGCTCCTTGCCTACTTTGTAGCATTAGACTTTCGTCCTCAGTGAAACAGTTGTCATTGTCCCTTCTTATTAAATTTTGCTGATGATTCCCAAAATTATTGCACCTTGACATAAAATCTAACCTAATCCAAAACTTGAACATCCTCTTTTCCCTCTGAACTCATCTTTCTTTTTTTTTTTTTTTTTTTTTTCTGGAACCGGGGATTGAACTCAGGCCCTTGTGCTTGCCAGGGAAGCGCTTATTCCACTGAGCCATATCCCTGGCCCTGAACTCATCTTTCTTAATTTTTCCACTTAACATGCTCTATTTCTGATATGAGCAGCTGCTGTTTCTAATCTCTCTGGTGTCACCTTCGAACTGTGGTCCTTACTAGGAGAAGTCACCCATGCCCCATCTTGCTCCATCTGGAAAACCTGGACTGAACCTTAAGAATCTGAAACACATGTCTGCTTTAGGAGTGCTCAAAACCAAACAACAGGTAACTTGCTCTTTTCTTTTTCCTTTTTTTTTTTTTTTTTTTTTTTTTTTTTTGTGGTTTCTTGGCCTCCGACATGTATTTAATAGTACTGAATGACATTTTATTTTATCTATTGATTCAAATTATTCTTCCCACTTTCCTAAGTACCTCAAAAGCAAAACCTCCCCAGCATCTATTATAGTATTTTGTACTTAGTGGGTGTGCTTTTGGGTTTGCTGAATCAATGAGAATTGATCTACGCCTTATGTCTGAAGAGAGGAATTTACACTGGAGTTGTGGAAAGGAGGTTAAAAGCTGGGAGCAAAGTGAAGTAATTCTGCATATCCTTTTGATGGGCTAACATTTAGTCTTCAGTAGGAATCATTGCCCATCTGCTATTCTCATTTTCTCTCACTCCCTCTCTCTTCCTCTCTCTCTTAGTCTCCCTTTCTTTTCTTCCTTTGTCTCTTGGGGTGCTGAGAATTGACAGAGGACTTTGCTAGGCAAGCCGTCAACCACTCAGGTATAACCTCAGAACTTTCAGTTCAAACCCACATTCTACACACACAAGCATGAGACCATTTCAAATGCATGCCTCTCCTCCTGGCAGCCCCTCAAACTGCATCCATCACCTGCCCGACAGCTCCTGAGGTTACTAAGTCAGTGATAGCACGATTCTCACAGCAGCTGGCTGAACTTGCTCAACCTAAATTAATCCTTTCTTTGTCTTCTCTAATATCATCAATTCTTGAATGTCTTTTTCCTCAACATCTCTCACAAGAGATTCATCTTCTTTTTCCTTACTGCACAAACTCAGCTCACCTTGCGCATGCACAGGTCCGAGCCCGGGTGTCAGCCCGTCCAGTTCCATGCTCGTTCATCCCCCCACCAAAGCCTAGACAGTCTCCCAACAACATGAATTATGCTTTTTTCCTGTTTCAGTCCTTCAATAATCTCACTTTAGGTACTGAATAGAATTAAAATATGTCATTATAAACTTTTAAAAAATCCTCTTTAACTTTCAGACTTGACCCTCCCAAAGCCACCCTCCAAATGAACACCTCAGTCATATATATTATGTGTAGTTCTCCAAAAGCACAGCTATTTAAATCTTTCCTGGATTTCTTTTTCTTCTTGTCCCTCAACTGGTAGAGTTCCCAAGCCCATGCACCCCGTGCCTCACTCCACATCATGTGGAGTGCCCTAAATCAACAGTGAAGTGCTCGCCTCTCTCTCCTGTCTGGCCTGAGGTCTTCCACCCTCTGTTGCATAGACAAGACCCTCTGGTTTGTATCCCGGGCTTGAGCTTCCACCTCAGCACATTATTACACTGAACTTGAGAACAGTATTTCACTTCAACTTCCTTGTACACTGGAGTTATGTTACATTTGACACTGAGGGAAAAACAAAAGAGGGGGGCTTTGAACTCACTGACTCACTTTGTAACCTAGGCTGTCCTCAAACTCACAGGAATCCTCTTGCCTCAGGCTTTGGAGTACTGAGATGATGGTACACACCTCCTCATCCAGCAGTACAGCATTCTTTTGAATCTGCATTCCCAAAACATTCTCTATGATTACTGCTGTGTTTATAATAGCAAAAGTTATCAGATATATTTTCTAAGAAATAATTGGAATTTTATAATGATACTCTTTTAAATACTTGCATGATCTCAAGAAAAAATAAGGTATCCTCCACACTGGCTAAGTATGTTATCAATAGTACCATCTGGTATTACTGATACCAGTTGTTTTTGTCCAGGCGCTTCCTGGTAATCTACACTCCTGCTTCTCCAATTTGTATTTCTTACTGGGGCCGCCAGAAGCTACAATTAGTGTTTTATCTTGCTCTGCTTCCCTCTCCACCCTCCAATAGCAGCAGAATTTATTTGTACACATTGTTCCTTGCTTCTGTGGAACACTAACCTTTGGGAGGATGCCTGACTCCAGTGAAAGCTGAAGGGTGAAGTTATACACAAACCACTCTCAACAACAGCCTGCCTGATTGACTCTTCCTACAATTTGCTGGAGGAAAACATTTCGCATCCTATGACACATATCCTGTGGCTGCAGAAACTGACCTCCCTCCAGTTGCCACTTAGCTTCAGGTCCAGGAAGTTGGAAATCCCCAACAACCCCTCTGATAGTTCATGGGGTAATTCAGTGGAAAAACAAAAATCTGTACCTGGGGGTCTCAAGTAGAAGGTCATTTATGAATAAAGAGTGATATAAATGTTCAGTGCAGGAAAGAAAAAAAGAAAAGAAAGAAATCTGTTATTTGATAGAGGACAAAGGACAGACAGCAGTGACAAGGGTGTCCTGATTTACACAGGTGCAGAAAACCTGGATGCAATCATAAGGAAAGGGTGTGTAATAATTCAGTGATGATCTCTCTGATGCAGATGGACACAAAACTCTTAAACACAGCAGTAGGAACTCTCAAGGAATAGAAAAATGAAAAGAATCTCAAATTGTTGGTGTATCTGGTATAGCACATCCTATACATCATTTTTTGCTCTTAGCACTCACAAATACCTTAATATAACTTCAATTTAAAGTTAGTTTGAGTGGGCTCAGTGGTCTAAGCACCTGCCTGGCAAGCACAAGGACTCAGGATCGATCCCTGGTGCTATATGTCATGCCAGCCCCTCGCTGAGCCAGCCACTGAAACCAGTGTGGTGGTGCACACCTATGATTCCAGCTTTGGGTAGGCTGATGCAGGAGGATCACAATGGGTCTGAGCTGTGTAGCAAGACCCTATACTTAATAAATAAATTAATTAAATTTTGAAAAAGATTAAAACTAGTTTGAGTAGTATAAATAAATATGCAAAAAGTGATAAAAGCAAGGCTGGGGATGCAATAACTATTGAAGACATGTCTAGTATCACCAAGGCTTTATACATGAAGAACCCGAGATTCTAGAATACTTTAGTAATTTCGCTAATGTAAGTGCCATACCTGGCACTAGAACCTAAAACCTCATCCTACCTATATTCATTGTGAGGTCTTTTCCTAGAACTAAGTCACATTTCTGCTTAATACCTAAGAAAATTAGATCCCTCTCTATGAGTACAAATTATGGAGATGAGCAGAACTGATCAAAATTATTACTATGTCATAGAAGAATAATTGTAAGTAAAATAGGATGGAATGTAAAAGGCAACTAAAATGAATTATTTTCTTGGTCTGAATTAATCTTGTCAATAGTATTCTGAAATCAATAGAACCAAAGGAACAGGAAATTAATGTAATTGAACCCAAGTGCCCCGTTAAGATTATCAAATCACAGAACATTAGAGTTTGTGGGACATGTTAGAAAGAATTTGCTTTAATCACCCTTCATTTCACAGAAGAGAAAAGCAAACACTGGATGTTGATGTGACCCCCCCACACACAAGGTCACATAGCTTCAAGATACTAAACCAAAACACTGAGGATAGTTGGTACTCTTGGAAATTGTCTTCGAAAGCCATGAGTTTAAAACTAGCAAAGGGGTAACTTTATTGATTTTAATTTACAAATCGCAACACACGTGTTTAAAAAACATATAAAAACAAACATTTGATTTGGTCTTCATGGGAGTGGGGCAGGGTGCAAGGATGCTGCTTTCACAGAGGTACGATTTCACGTCTGAATGGTCTGCCTCCTTGGAAAGGTAACCCAGCAACCACCCACAGCCACAAACTACAGCGCCAGCAAGAGAATTCCAGAAAAACAAACATGTGTGTCCATGCTGAGTTTACATTTTCCGGTGTCTGTCCTGGCATTTACGGCATGTAAGTTATAGAAAAAGCAAAGATACACATCACTGCAAATCACGAAATGCTTGCCCTCTTTCCTCCACTTTGTGCGCTCCTAGGAGGGGTGTCTCCTCTCCCTTGATCTTAGCCAAAAGGCTGAGTGAGAAGCGACAGCAGCGCCTCATCTCCTACATTTCTCCAGGGCTGTCATCTACTCGGGGCTCCAGGAGACAAGAGTACCTGTGTGTCTGGTCTCTGGCTGCCTGCTGACGGTGGAGGCGCGGGAATGCAGGCTCATGGTGGTGTCCCCATCCTCATCCAGCATGCCCCTCACGTCCCTCTCGCTGCTGTATTTGGTCTGCATTCTGATTCCTGCAGGGCTGAGGGGCAGTGTGATCAGATTGCTCTAAGCTGCTTCGTTACCAGGGAATAGCCCAGGAAGACAGGCACTGAAAAGCATTCTCAACTTCCTTTCCCGACAAGCAGCACGGAAAACCTCTGTCTCCAGTTCCTGACTGGAAAGGCCCAGCCCCTCCCCTGGAAGGCTGTGCTCCGAACGCCAAGTTTGTCAGGGGAAGTAACATCTGTTTTCTGTTTGAGAGGTCTCTGCACAGTTATTAAATCAGTTGCCTTTCTCGGACTCTACGTTTATCTGTTCGTACTTGGGAAACTGCAGTGTAAAGACAGCAAGAGCCTGCAGCAGCACTTCTGCAGAGTTCTTCAGACACTGAAGAATAATGAGCCAAAAGGGGGACACATATTATCCAGCTTCTTACTGGTCATGCCCTCATTGCATCGCTTAGATGAAGTTTAACCACCTGTGCCTCTGCTGAGAAAGATGAGGCTCTTCCTGTCTTCTCAGCAAAAGTGCAAATTATCACATACAAGGAAAGTCAGCACAAAAGAATCCTCCTAAGAGCAGTTTGTCAATTCAATTCTTCTATTTTATACGGAAGGAAACTGAAGCGCATCAAGGTGAGGTGATTGTTTAAAGACTCATAGCTGGCTGCTAGCAGAATTAGCTCCAAAAATGCTCTCCTGAATTTCTCTGGTTCAAACAAAAGCATCACTTGGAAAGAGACTACCATCATAACAATCCAATGAGTTTATCGTAACCCTGAATTAAAAGACAGTGGAGGAGGTCCTGTAAAACTTCTCATGGATGGACAGAGCGCAGAGGCCGGGGTTCGACTCCCCAGCGTGCCGTGCCAGCCCTGCCCCTGGGGTGCGCTGAGAGGGCCACAGAGACTGGGAGTGGTGGCGTGTACCTATAATCTCAGCGCTTGAGAGGCTGAAAAAGGGAAAATCACTACAAGTCCAATCTATGTAGTAGACCCTGTCCTAAATGCAGAAAAGGAAAAGAAAAAAAAAAAATCTCATGGAATAAAACAGTATTTTTGTGGGAAAAAAAAAAGCTCTCCTGCTGCCAACTTTCTTCTTACAATTGGACTTGATTTAGCATTTCACTGTGCACAGGGAACATTGTGGCTGTGAGGAATTGCACATTTTGTTGGTGATCGGATTTTTTATGATGATTGCTGACTGTCCATTGAAAATCTAATTCACAGTTTGTGCCTAAATTTCATAAACTGAAAAAGGAAATGAAACAATCGTTGTGGATAATATCTCAAAATTCTTCCTGAATTAATCCACTACAATGGCATTACTTGGCATTCTGTCTGTCCTGCAACAACAGACTACCTGAGACTAGGAAATGTATAAACAATACAAAATTATTTCTTATCGTTCTGGAGCTTGGGAGATCCAAGATCAAGGCTTTGCCAGGTTTTCTTTGATCAAGACTGAGTCCTCTAAAGGACAGGAACTCTGTGTCACTGCATGGCACAGGAGGAAGAATGA